TTTGGAGCCTGATGGTCCTAATAAATTTATGCAGTATTTTGGAGATAGGTCCTGATAATTTTAAGCTGTACTTTGGAGTCTGACAGTCCTCTTTACCTGGAGTGATGTCCACAATCTGCTTATGTGGATTTAATATTGCATTGCTGCTAGCAATAAATTTACATTGCATTTGAGAGCCTGGCAGTCCTAATAATTTTAAGCTGTACTTCAGAGCCTGATGGCCCTCTTTACCAGGACTGATGTCCGTAGTCTGCTTCCATAGATTTCATATCACACCACTGCCACCAAAGCTGTGACATCGCCGATCGACGCAATGGAAAAACTCAGACCAGTTGCCTTTTTTATTTTAAAACTTAACATAGGCTTAACTAGAAAGTAACATTACAGCATTATTAGTGAAGGGGAATTACAATTGCAGAATTATTACAACAGCTTTCCCGATGCGTGACGCATCTTACTCGCTCTGCATTTTTCAGATGAGACAAAAACATTTGTTTTTGTTTATTTTTCTCATACCCAGTCAGTAATAGATATCTCGCCAAGGCGAGTATCCTTAATGAATCTTTCCTTGATCACTTTTATCAGCCATCATGGCGGATACAGCTGTTTGTATTGGAAGTGCAAAAATTTCCTTGTGTACTATTCATTTGTAATCTGCAATGTACGATATACTTTTATCTGTGTTTTCCTGTACAATTGCTTTGTTTGTTCCCAAGAGAAACAGGAAGTTCTCTAACATAAATCCGATGTTTGTCATACCATCTGTAACATTTAAAATTAAAACATATAACATCTGATTTTATAATTCAGAAAACTAAATTAAATTAATAATTTTAAAATTATTATGTTTATTATCAGAATTTCTTAATATGATGGCAATAACTTCAAATGTTTGCCTGCTTACAAGATTGTCACTGTAGTTTTAAAAATTTATTATGTATGCAATGAAGCTTTATAACACTAGGTACAGACATAGATGAATATTTCTTGGGAAATCTTATGAAAGTCTGCTTCATTTTACCTTAATTTCTTGCTCTGTGTTTTATCTTCTTCATCCTTCGCATCTATATTCTTTCCCACTGCATGTCCGGTTATTTCATCATCATCTTGAAAGAGTATGATGCAAACTGATTTGACTACACCCTTCCAAGACTTTACCTCCTCTTCATTAACATTAATTTCTCCCAGATATATAAGCAAATGCAGTATGTCTGCCACAGGTGCCGAACTTGTTTTAAAACCATGAGAATTTTTCGCACTCGACTCATGTTCTATGAATATGATTAGAGGTCGTAATTTACACCAACAGTGATGTAAAGTAATATTCTTTAAATCGTTTCAGGAAAGTAAACATGGTGTCCTTTAGTTTGAATTGTTTCCGAAAGTCATGTGCAATACATTTTACGTTCTTGCATGGAGGCATAAAAGGGGATCAGTAGTTCATTTTTGTATTCTGGATAATTCCTTGATTCACTAATTGTATAAAGGTTGTTATATTGGGTGTTAGAAACATAACACAGTCTTCAACATTAAAATATTCATGTTATTTGCCCATGACATACTTTTTGATCTCACAGGCCTAATTTTCAAATTTAAATTTAGACTTTTAAAAGTGCCGTTATTTTGATATTGTCAGTTAATTAGTTGTTAGTTACTAGGGATTTTACTGCACATGCACATTTTACCTTTTAATTCGATAATTATACTGAGAATCGATCAGTAAGCACACTTATAAGCCTGTTTTTGTTTTATTTGTTCTGTTAGAGACTTCATGGTTATTACTTAAAAAAATAGATTCAAAGCATTTATTTCCTTTAGTGATTTTGTGACAAAATACTGTATTTCTATAGAAATTTTCATTTTTTTAAAAAAATGTAATCTCTTCCAGTAGGAGCAATTTTTACAAGTGCATATTATTTTAAAAGTGAGAGTAAGCCAGAAGAAAGAAAGGGAGGGGGAAAAAAAAAAGTTATTCATCATTTTTTTTAGGGTTTCAGAAGGCTATACTAAAGGAACTAAGATGGATACAAAAAAAAAAAAAAAAAAAAAAAAAAAAAAAAAAAAAATCACACTAAATACAAAAACAATTCAAATTCCGTTTACAGCTCTTACAGGTGTTCTGTGTGTGTGAACCGTTGGTCATACGCCATATATCAGTGTGATTGTCTAGTTCCTGCCAGATTGTATTCAGCATGGTACTATTAATGATATTGACAATGGTGTGTGATCCCTTCGTTCAGTTCTGCTAAATCATGTGGCAAACAAAGTACAAAAACAAGATCTTTTGCATAGCTCCACAAAAAAAAGTCATACGGTATTAAATCTGGTGAGCATGGGGACCATTCCTAAAGAGGTATGTCATTTTTGGAAGCTCATGCAATGCAATGACAAGGTAATCGTGTGTTAAGGTACTCATGCACATCCAGCATAAATGGGGTGGAACTCCATCTTGTTGTAAAAGGAATTTATCATCCAGAATGCAGTCTCCCGAAATTAGCGTTGGCATCATTTGTACTCGGTATGGCTTCATATGCAGAGTTTTGCGTACCACTCTCTGTACTGTTGGCTGTGAAATCCTCAATTCATGGCTTCCAAGAACGGTTGATTTTGTGGGGCTTCTAAAAAAATATTACCTGTACATCTCTTACAGTTTCTACAGAGGGACCTGACTGACCACTTTGTTCCTTGCCATACAAGCATCCAGTTTCTTTGAATTTGTTGTACCACACATGAATTTTGTCAGTGGGTCCCTGTGTTTGATATTTTGTATATTTTGTGTATTTTTTGTTCGCTATATAAAGCCCACTGCAACAACAGCAGTGATTTTGATTTAGCAACTTCTAACCCACTTATAAGCTTTTCGTCCACCCATGAACACCAATTTGATTCACTTGCTACTTTCAGTTGGATTTGTGCTGCCATCTACTGCCAACTGTTATTATAAAAAACTTGAATTGTTTCTGTATTTAGTGCAAGGTTCATTTTTGCTATATTTGTCTTAATTTTTTCACTGTAGTGTTTTGAACCGCCAAAGAGAATTATAAATAACCTGGTATTATGATTTGTCTGTGAAAGTTGCTGAAACTTGGGATACAATAAGAATGCACATAAAAATGGGAATGTTGCTTCTTGTAGTCAATATTTCTGACTAGGGAAACTACAATAAAATGTTACTGGTGAGAACAGGGAGACAGTTCCAAACAGAGAAGAGGGAATTTGAATGGGAAAATATGTGTAAGGGCAGCAGAAAGGGAGAAATCAGATGCTTTGACTACTGATATTTATGGTCTGCTTTTGACATTTTTATGGCTGTCTGAGGGAGAGGAGGTGAACTGAGAGAAGCATGATACTGAGGAGCAATCTGTGACCAGAGAACTTGTATGATGTTTCAAAGTTGATTATTTTCATCCATCTCCAATTTAATTACATTTGTTAGGAAAGTGTATACAGATGCATATTGCTGTGATTACCACCAGGAATGATCAGTTTAGTTCCTATTTGTTCATAAGCTGTTTGTCATTTGGCATACATTTTGAAATTTCAAATTGTACACGAGTTATAAACTGAAAATAATTGAAACCATGGATAATGAAGCAATTTTTTTAACAAAAATAGGACTGTAATTAACTTTATTTATAAATTGCTGTTCATTTTAAATATCCATTTTACGAGTCATCTTGTATATTGTCCATAACTTCAGAAGTAAATTTTAAAAAATGAGTAATAGAATAATATAAAGTTAAAATTAATTATTATGATAATTAAAGTAAATTTTATACAGAGTACCAACTGACATTCCTGCTGTAAATATTATTGCAACTGCAAGGTATTGATTGTTTTACCAGCTGTGCAAACTAGGCTAAGGAATATGTTGCTATATAACATTGCTGTGAAAGGCTGTAATATTTCAGTTTTATACCAGAAGCTAAAACAAAGTGTATGCTTTGTGCTAAATTTTTATAGAAGTTCGAAACAGGCCTGATTTTATACCAATGCAGAGATTTAGCATAAATTTTTTTTCAAAAGCAGAGATTATTAAATTTGCACTCATTGTTGTCTAAATTAAATTAAAATTTGTTGAAAGTATAGTGTAGATAAGCAATGCTACAGCAGTATAAATTAAGAAACCTTCCTTACTCAGTTAAATTAATTAATGTGAAAAAATTTCTTTGTACTTCTAAATGTTAAATTCAATCATTTTTTGTATTTTTTCATTTGCATACAAATTTTAAATTCTTCATCTAGATATTTAATTTTTCCCTTTTTAACTTAGAAAGAAACATAATTACAAAAATGAGTTCAAAAATCTGTCCAACCCTCTCTAAAAAGAAGTGACTGTGTGATTGCTTTACAGTATACATTTAATATTATTTGTGCTCAAAATTTCAGTTTTAAAACACTTTAACTTTACATATTGGAAAATGCTTAAATATATATTGTGCATGGGTCTTGTGTGATTGAAATTTTAAAATGCTTTTCTCAAAACTGATACTTTATAAAGTGAATTACTACAAGTTACTGCATTTCTTAGAGTTTCCTGCTTTATAACTTCAACAAGAAGTAGATCTTCTAATTGTAACACTATATTAAGCATCTAGGGTATATCAAATATACTGTTTCTAAATGATAAAAATTACTTCTAAAGTGAGGGAATATACAATTGTGTTCGAATAGGTAATGGTGTTTGTCAACACTGGAGCATAATTTGGTTATTCATGTAATAGTAGTTTCTTATGACGTTTTAAATGTTTTTCTGTCATTCAATATTTTAGTTGCTAAATTTTAAATTTTGGTTCAATAAATCTCTTTTATCGTTGTATTACCTCACATAGGAAATAACATTTTCCCCTCCCTTGATCGTCAACTAAATAGTTAAATTGGGAATATTTTTTTAATTTGAAAATCTAGGGATATCTCTTGTGTTTTATTCCAAAGCAATTAACATTTCCTGTTGATGCTTACTAATTTTCCCAGAATTATTGTTTATGTTTCCATTGCAGTGTGAATCTGCATCCTCACTACAAGATGGATGTCATTGACTATGGTGCCATCCTCCTAGCAAGAGGAGATTGATCTGGCATTCTCTGGAACAATTAATGGAGAATGTTTTGCTTCTTTCATTGCACTCCTATGTACTTTTGATGCTTATGCTCATTCTAAATTGTGAATTTCTTCTTATTGCATGAAAATTGTTACTGCACTTAAATCTAGATATTGCATGTGGCCTCAACAATGGATGGCCTAATATATAACAAAATTGAGAAGTTGCAAGTAATCAAGCAGGAAGGTGGGGTGGTATATTCGTTGTGTAAAACATGGTATATTCATTTCATGGTCATGGCTCAAAATGATAAAATGAACATATTTTGAAGGATAAGGAAAATTTGATTATATTTAACATTAACATATTTTGAACTGTTGAAAAATTTACTTTTGAGCCCTGTTCATGTTTTTGTACATTGTGTCAGAATGCAGTAGAACCTCATTCATCCAAACTGTAGGGGATATAGCCATTTAGGATAATTCAGAAAATTTATTTTCAGCAGGCAAAGATGGAAATAAAAATTACAACAGAATGATCTTGTTTTGTGTTTTTTCTTGCAGTATTTATAAGAATTAAGCTGTTATTTTTAGTGAACAACATGAAAGTCATCTTTTAAACAGGTTTTTATAGCTTGCATTTTCTTCATACAGTATTGTGTGTTGACTTGTTTTCTTTTTAAATATGCCTTTACTTAAGATACAATAACACACCGAACAAATACTAATTCAGAAGTCAAACAACAAAAATCAGCGTTATATTTTCAAATTTTCAAAGGACTAGTTTCGATGGTTTTACCGAACCACCATCGTCAGCTGTAAAAGCGCAAATGAACGAGATAGGCTATAATGATCAGATAAGATAGGAAAGCCTGGACAGGAAATAAGCTAGTGGCACCATCTGTTGATGAAACCAGAACTAAACACTTTCCAATCCATCTTTGCTTTGGGCTTTTAAAGAAATTATGTTTTAGTTCTGGTTTCATCAACAGATGATGCCACTAGCTTATTTTCTGTCCAGCCTTTCCTATCCTATCTGATCATTATATCCTATCTCGTTCATTTGCACTTTTGCAGCTGACGATGGTGGTTCGGTAAAACCATCGAAACTAGTCCTTTGAAAATTTGAAAATATAACACTGATTTTTGTTGCTTGACTTCTGAATGCCTTTACTTATGAAGAATAAGAAAGAACAAAGTTGATTAAAGAAAAGTTAGAACTGATTAAGTTTTCATCTGTTTGATTCGATATTATGTACCTCCTCTGCTATTTGGGTTAAGTGGGTTCTACTGTATTATATATGTAATGCTAGTATTCTTATTAACTATTAAGGTTTTATGGACTATTACTTCATATATTATTTTATTTAACATTTGGAACTGAGTGCAATCTATAAAAACATTAAGTAGTGCATATTTACTAAATTATTTAAATGAGGTACCTTTTATGTGCCTAAATGAATTACATTTTAGTTGAAATAATGCTTTAAATCATTTCTATTTAATTCTGTATTACAGCTGAGTGAATTTTAAATATGTGTTCTCTTCTTTTTATAAAATTATTTTTGTTCTATGTGCCATATGATCTATTCAATGTAATAGTAATTGTTGTGCAATGTTAATTCATTGCATAATCTATCAGTCACTGAGTAAATTTGTATGAAATTATTCCTTTTGAAGGTATCTATTGTGGGTAATATCTAGTGCTGCAGTGCAGATCTAGGAGTGAAGCATCTAAGTTTGTATTCAGAAAATTGAGAGACAAATAAAATGTCTAATTATAGCAGTATGATGTCTTATCTTTAATTGCAGCACTATATTGAATAAAATACATCTGTTAAATTTCTTCTTCTTTTAGTATCAAGTTTCTAGATATTCATTTACTGTCGTAAGTTTCTAGATCTTCATTAACTGTCGTTTGTTTAAACTTTTAATCGTTTTATGCAAAGCACTAATGTTTTTCTTTGTTTCATAATAAATAAGATCAATATATACAAGTTGCGGGGGATAGTAGATTTTTATAACTCCTTTTATGATGCTATTTTTTGATTTTTTATTGAATCTGTTTCTTTAGTTGTGTTTAAAGCCTGTGCCAAAATCTTAGTACAGGAACTGTAACCAGGTCGGACATGTATTTTGCCAGGTTTAACTAGTGTATTTCTAAAGCAGCATAAAATAGCTGCTGTTAATATTTTGAGTACTAACTTTACCTTTGCCGCATGATTAAAGACCAGATGAGAATGTAACTAGAGAATGATCAAATGCATTATCTTTACATTAGATAAGTTGCATTATCTTTACATTAGATATAAAAGTCTATCTGTTAGTATAAAAAGCTGGCAAACTGTCTTTCTCAGTTTACTATCAAACCACTTTCTTAGCAGCAGGCCTAGAAAACCTAAGAAAGATTTGTTTAGAACGGTGTCTGCTTGGTTCACCTCTGTGGTTGGAAGCCATCTTAGCAGTGCACTCACTATCTCGTATCTTCCTGGAAATTTTTGAGAAGTTTGTTTGCATTATCAGGTAATCCACAAACAATGCAGCTTTCACTTATCCATGAAGGAAATTTCAGGGAAGTTATTAATATATTAAACATAATAGAGTTGATTACATTCTGAGGTAACCGAATTAAATATCAAAGATTTCTATCTTATTAAGCAGAATCTTTAACACTTTAAACTGTTTATTCATCTAAACAGTAAAAATAGTTTAAATTGTAAAAGCAGTTTTGACATTTCTTATCTTTTGTAATGGTTTTAATTCCTATACATTGTCATAGGTAGAGCTGAAGTCTGTAAATACAGAGAGATTAGATTTTATCAAATCGAAAATATTTTCCGTCAGTGACCTCAAATAAGCTATCTGTTGCACCAAGAATTGATGCTGTTTCTTTGGTTATAATACTTTCCTAGTTCTCTGGTCTTGTCCAGCTTTTCTGGTTATAGTAAAAATGACCTAAGCTATAACAAATTCTTACTTTCCATATAGTACTTGTGGTGATACGACTTGATGTCTGTGAATACATTATATGCTTAACCTCAGACCGTGAGCTTTGTTTTTGCTGTACTATATATTAATGAAGCAAAAAGTATGAATGAATAAAATAGTAATGAAGCAAAAAGTTTACTGCTGTACCATGAAAATTTGTGCCTTCACTTCACTCTTGTAGTTTATGGCATATTCAGTTATGCCATCCTTTGGGGTCATCATATTGATAAACATTACCGGAACTAACTGCCCATTTCTGATAACCAAATGTCATATGAAGTACTTAGGAATTCAGCTCTCATTGGCACTTAATATACTGAGCTTTCTTGCTTATGCACCCTGACACTGTGGAATTTGCATGCATGTGCTTATCCCTCTAATATGGACTACAAGTCCACATTAGAGGGGGAAGTATCATGTAAAACACACCTTTGCAGCAAATAGTCCTTTGACTTGTTTGAAAGCAGTAAATTGCAGTTCATTCTTTGCAGTTTTTCTAACTTTCCATTATTACATCAGGAAAGCCATAGGTAATCTGTTATGAACATGTGATTTCATTGTTGATATCATATTAGCATATAATATGTTGGTTCTTCAACGCTAAGAATTTTTTTTAATTCCTCAAAATGTGTTTTTGGTATGCCTCAGACAGATCTTCTAGGATTCCAATGTCTTGATATTGCATCATTAGCTGAGCTTTGTAGGAAGTTACAGTATTCTTTAAGTCATCCATCATAGCAAAATTGAAAAAGGTGGAAAAAAGATCTATAGATTCAATTTTTAATTAAAATTTGTGCAGAGAGCAGCATTTTGTTTTGGAACTATATGCAACATTTTTATCAGAGAATAAAAATAGGAAGACTTTCAGAGAATAGGACTAATTATAAATGTAAAGAAGCAATTATGCAACTGGCAGATGCTACAGAGAATTTTCTCTCATGTGAAACAGGCAGTAGCTAAAAACTGCATTTCTTTGTCATCCAACAAGTTTATTTGTGGTCTAATGGTTTAAGCATAACTTAAGTATAGTTCTCACCTAGCTAATTTTATCTAATTTTAGCTAATAATTTTGGTATTTTGAATATCAGAGAATATTCTTCTCAATAGATAATGCTATCAGCAATGCTTTGCTCAATTCACCCTCACAGGCAATCATTACTCAGTTTTTAAGACAACTCTTTTCTCAGTAGATTTCTCTAATATTCTAGTCATTGGAATTGATCTTTATCTGTTCAGACGATAGATTCTCTTTCTTTAACATTATGCAAACAAGAACCTTTTCCAATACATGTGGAATGTTTTAAAACAGTGTTAATGCATTTTAGTTTCATGCTTTTCATAGATTTATCAGAAATATGGTGTGGACTAGGGTTCTCTTAACCATTTTCGAAATAATGAATGATTTCTTTCGGCTAAAAAATATGAAGTAAGAATTAAAAATTAGATTTTCTGTTTATTGTGTAGATCTCATTATATTAATTTCTTCCCTATTTTTCCCCCCTCTGCAGAACATCAGGGCTGTAATTTAGAATATGACAAAAGCATAAACAATTTCCTTACCATCTAAAACATCCTTAATATTAACAGTGTCATGTTTTTTAATTTCTGTAGAACTTTCATATTTTAGACTTTGTGAACAATTTCAAACATTGTTTTTTGTTTAAGAATAAATAGGTAATTTTAGAGTAAATGGACTTTTCTTGGTAATCTTACAAATTTCCTAAATTTCTTGACATTTTATACCATTTTTACATGCTGAACAGGTTTGCAAGCAACAAAAACCTGTTCTTTCAATTATACGAGTGAGAAAGAGGACAAAATACTGTTGTTAAATTTTCTCCCATGGGGGGGGGGTTATTTTTAATATGTTTTATAATTGCTTGGTAATTGATCTGTAAAAACTGCTCTGCCATGGCTAGTTATTTTGGAAAAATCTGCTTTTTTCAAGTGCATTCCACCTCTCAATTTGCCTGTTTGAAATTGTACTTATTTTTAACTTGGGCTTAATTTAGAAGCAATGCAGAAATAATGGTTTTATCTGCTAACTGTGTGACAGAATTATTTAAAAATTAGTATTGGATTTATTAAAGATGCAAATTTGATGACTATCAGTCTCAACAAAAATTCTAGTTAAAAAAGAGTAACAGTCTTTCTGAATCCAACACTCATTTCTTTTGTTTGAATTATTACTTTCATTGTAGCTCTATTTTATACTGTAGAGACTGAAATCACCAAATAAATAGTTTTATTCACATTTGA